GTAATATACTTCTCTTATAACAGTAAGAAAAGTTAATTACATCCCGACCAGATATACCTTCAGTAGCTTTTACTTACAGTAAGAGCTATATATCATGAAATCAAGTATTGTACTTCTGGTTTTGAACATTTAAAACCACAAGGCAGTATTATGGATAATAGAATACTCTCCATGATTAATACTAAGGTTGTTACTATAGAACATATATAACTAAGAACACTTTTACCAATGAAACGGTTTATGGGATTAAACCACTTTTACAAATGAAACGGTTTATGGGATTAAACCACTTATACAAAAGAAACGGTTTATGGAATTAAACCACTTATCAAATGAAACTTAGTCACTCAATCTTTGTAAACTAGTATAACATAAAAGACCTTTAGTGGTTAATTGTATAATTCCTTAGTTATTACATCAGAGTCGTACATAAGTAATGTCCGATTGACAGTGAAATGTGTGACTTCCGCCTTACTTCCTGTTCCTTGTTTGGTTGTGGGCTTAGGGCAGATACACCCATTTAACTATCAATTCAATATTATGTTATGTATAATCAATATAAACTAAGTAATTACAGAGGGAAACTATTGAGGTTATCAGTTAATCACCTCAGGAGATATAGGATTTCCTGGAGAAACCAGTGAACTCATTCAAAGAACTTAGGGTATACTTAACAGAACTAAAATACTTATGAACTCACCAGCTTAAATTCTGATATACTCTTTTCAAATAACTTGTATTCTCAGGAATCCAGTAGACAGGTACACTCCAGAAGCTTTTCAGAAGACTACCTAGTACCGTACCGCGACTCTTGTCTTCTATTGTACCTACTTTAGTGTTTAAATATGTAATGTTTAAACACTTATGTAAAACTTATACTTATTAATGCAATGGTTGTTTGTACTTTGATTACTATATTGCATGTGTTGTGATACTTACCTAAAAGTCCTCCACCCCCGAACGTTTCCGCCGTTCTGGTTTGGGGGTGCGACAACTAGCGATCTTCCTATTCGAGGGTTCACGTTATAATAATTATCACTTATTATATCTTAATTTTCTAGCCCGAAGTTGCGGTCGTTACATCAGAAACGTTAATTTATCGCTTAATGATTAATTCCCTGAAAAGCCTTATATTATGTAGTCAACAATGCATATGACTAACGATTATCATATTCAATGATTAAATTATTCAATAAAATGAATAAATTTTATTATAATTACTCAAATCATCTAGCTTAACTTATTAGCGTTACAATGTAATACACATTCACGTCCTAAATGAGATAAAATATTCAAAAAATCAGTCGTAAAACAGGGACAACCCGAAATTAATTTCTATATTAGTTTCGGGTGGGTATTTGTAGGATCTTGATGATTATAAAGAATAAACTTAAACTAAAATTCAATGATTCAACGTGTTTTAATAAGAAAATCAAATTAAATAGTACATTATTTAAACCATAATATTATGTAATATAATATTAAAAGTACGATGTTATGATAGAAAATAAACAAAAGTATAATGTTATAATTAACAAAAGTACCATACTTTTGTTAATTATAACATCATACATTTGTTTATTTTATCATATCATCGTACTTTTAAGATTGTATTACATAATATTATGGTTTAAATAATGTACCGTTTAATTTGATTTTCTAATTAATTTAATTTTTTATTAATTATAGTCATACCTTTGCGGTTAGGTTTTCATTAATAGCAACTTACTTTTCTTAAAACATTCTATTTTCACTTCTTTTTTGTTATTAGTTTTTTTATCTTCCTCTTTCTTAATCTTTTTGTTGTTTTTTTTCTATTTATAGCATTGTACTTTTTTTCATATTCATATTACCTACACATTTATCAATGTAACATTTTTTTTCGTTTCATATTCAATTATAACATTGTACTTTTCTTAAAGTATGATTTTATAATTAAACACTTATCAATGTAACACTTTTTTCATTTTATATTCAATTATAGCATTGTACATTTCTTAAAGTATGATGGTATACTTAAGCACTTATCAATGTAACACTTTTTTCATTTCATATTCATCTATAGCATTGTACTTTTCTTAAGGTATGATGATATAATTAAGCACTTATAAATGTAGCATCTTTTTCATTTCATATTCAATTATAGCATTGTACTTTTCTTAAACTATGATGTTATACATTTTGGACATCCGATTTCAGTTTTAGCAATTCAGTACTTCATTCAATCACAAAATCAAACAAATTAAGCACTTCATTTTATCATTCCGGTTTAAGAAATTAAGCACTTAAATGTACACATACAATACCACTTTCATACAATCATACAATACATCTAAACACAAAATTAAACAAATTATACCTAAAGTTAGTGAACCTTAATAAAAAAACATGAGCAAAATCAGACTTAGATGAGCAAAATCAGTTCCATACAACCAAAATCAGTTTCATACAACCCAAATTAGAAAACAGAAAAAAAAATTGGGATTGAAATACGACTTACCTCTTGTGTAGGGACAGTCGACGGTAGCCGACGATGGTGGTGATGGCAGGTTCGGTAGTGATGGTTGGCCCCTCAAAAACCCTAAACCTTTCTAAAAATTTAAACCTAAAATCCACAAAAACCTCAAAAACCTTCCTAAAACATTAGAAATCATAAAAAATGGAGGAATGAAGAAATTACCGGTTAAAAACCGGTCGTATTCATCGGAGACGTGATTTCGCCGAGAGAGAATATAGCTCTCAAGTGGCGACTATGAATGGGGTCGATTAGGGTACTAAAGAAGATGAAACCCTATACCGACGATATGTCTGCGGTATATGTTAAAGAAACATGATGTCGTTTAGTATTTTCCATCTTTATTTAAAAAAAATAAAAATAATAAATCTATTCTGACGACAGGTCGTCGACAGACATTTCATACGGATCGACCTAGCTCTATACCGACGACCTTTCGTCGGTATAGAGGTCAACAAAACGACATCATTTCTATTTTATCTGCAACATTACAATTAAAAAATAGAAATTATTTTTATTTTTTATATACCGACGACTTGTCGTCGGAATATATTTTAAGAAAAGCAGGAATTTTTTTTTTATTTTCGCGCCCTACCTACCCCGACGATGTGACAACGACATGTCGTCACTATAGCTTGACTTTTATTGACGAAACATGTCGTCGGAACAGATGTCGTTTGCACAGGTGTAGATTCTTGTAGTGATTTAGTGGTTCAAACTCACTAATCATCTCTTGGATCTGGTTCAAACTCACTAAGCATCTCTTGGATCGACCTTGTAAAGGTATTTATTTATTTTTTGTACCAATCGATCGACCTTGTAGGGATATTCATTTATTTGTTGTAGAAATCGACCTTGTAAGGGTCTTCATTTACTTGTATAAATCGAGTTTCTAAACAATAATAACATCTCCTGAAAGGGTGAGTAGGCCCTTTTTGTTGACTTATAAGTGAGTTTGAACTATTAGATTGACCTTCATTTATTTATTGTACAAATGAAGCTTCTAAATCGAGCTTCTAAACCATAATAACATCTCATAAATATGTCAATTGGTTGACATTGCAACAAAATTGTAAATGTAATGACATAATTGAGAAAAAAAATCGGTGTCAAAATCAAAATTTTGTGATAATATAGACTTTTCTGGAAATTTGAAACTCGAGGTCAAAATCGAAATTTTGGTAAACTTAGTGACTTTATTGCAATTCGGGAAAAGTGATTTATGGGATAACAAAGAGAACCGGTCACTTGGTTGATATTGCAACAAAATTGTAAATATAGTTATATAATTGAGAAAAGAACTCGGTGCCAAAATTAAAATTTTGTGGTAATATATATATATATATTTTTTTCAATTTGCTGAATAGTAAATGAGATGAAATTGTACTTGGATATAATTGGTTCAAACCTAAATGTCTATAGTAGTAACTAGAAGGATGTCAGCGCTTTGCATGGGTTAGAACGACGCATGTAGAAATACAAAGAAAAACAAATTTTCACTTATGTCAGTCAACCAAATTAAGAATATAATAATTTTAGGAAGAATCTTAACAAATAATAGATTAACTAAAGAAAGTATTTACATATCTTGACTACAACCTTAGAAGTAAATCAACATATATGGCATAACCTCCTTTATTCATTATAAATTCTACATTTGATTTTTTTTTACTTGATAGCCACGATCACTTGAACAGAAACTTCTAAGAACTTGACATATTTCCTTTGAAGATGCACAAATGTCTCCTGCCTCACTTACCTAGTAAGAAACCTAAAATATTAAAAAAAAACATACCTTTTTATTTTTAATAAAAGAATGAATATTAATGATATTGTAACACAGCGGCGGACGCAGACTGTTTTAGTAGGGGTGTCCCTCATACTTCAATCGGGTGCACCTAATAGAAAAAAACCAAAAAAAAAAATAAATAAAAAACTTTACACTGCGTGCCGGAAATTGAGCAGTGGCCCGGGACCCCAAATGCCCCACTAAGGTCTGCCACTATTGTAACACCTGTTCTGATGTTACATAGGATCCATAATGCATTTCTTTTCGTGATAAAGCTTTCATTGCAGCATAACAGGAACCAACCTACAAGACATGAAATGCATTAATAATACCCATTTTCATAAAATCTCATATAGTTATACAAATTTACTTAATAAATATTCAAGTAAATGAGCGATTTAATGAACAAAAGATCAGGTATAGGGGTGCAAACGAGCCGAGCCGAGCCCGAACCTGACCAAGCTCGATCTCGGCTCGCTTAAAATTTGTATGGCTCGAGCTCGAGCTCGGCTCGTTTCGAGCCCCAAATAATGAGCTTGAGATCGGCTCGTAAAGTAATACATAGGCTCGGGCTCGGCTCGTTTTGTCTAATTGAGCCTAAACAAGCTTAAGCTTGGCTCGAGCTCGTTAAAAGCTCATTTACAAAATGAATTCCAAAAAAAAACGACGAATTTACTTAATTGTCAACTAGGTGCAGACTACTTAAATTCCAACCAAGATGTATAAATACAATCTTCAAATTACATAAGTTTTAAACTCCAACAAACAAACCTAAAATGTAATTAAATCATCCAAAAGAAAGTCTTCCTATCATGGAAGTTCAAATTACAAAAATACTATAAAACAATTAAATTTTAACATAACATATTATCAAAATTCAAAAGCCAATCTTCCTTGAAGCAAATTCAATCCAGCAAAATCTGCAAATTAAAACATTTTATGAGATGTGCAATATAATGTAATTAAACAACCAAGATTACAAGTAGATTAGAATGGCTTACACCTTTAAGTATTACTTGTCCCTGTAGGTAATAAAACCTCAATGGGCATTTCCTCCTTCTGTAAAAAGAACCCAGCAACACGATCAAATATTAATAAATTTAAATAATCAATTGTTAGTTCATGTGTTTTAAGTTTATCAAATGCACCTTCAATTTTTTCTTGATTCCATAACGATGTCTAATCTAATCTCCTCCACAAATCAACTTTTGAACAGTGTCCAGTGCCAATGAAGATCGATATGGATCAATTACTCTACCCCCAACACTAAATGTTGCCTCAGATGCAACGGTAGAAATCGGGATCGCAAGCACATCCATAGCCATCTTTGATAAAACACGGTACTTCAGTTTATGAACATTCCACCACTCCAAAGCCTTGAATGAATTCATTCCATTTTGTCCCTGGTCCTTATAAACACCTTCCTCCAAATACATATCTAATTCTGACTTTTCTGGTCTCTCTAAATCTGTATTTTTTATAAACTCCCCAAAATCCTCCCATCCTGACCCGAGTGATGTTGTTTTTGACACTTCATTTCCTCCACATCCATTTGCAGGCATTGCAGCTTCTCGGACTGATGCATCATGTATTTCCAAATACTCTTCATACATTTCATAAAGTGCTTCTTCACTTCTTCAATGTTCTTTTCAGAATTGGAGTATATGGTTGGGAAACTAAATTCTAATAACTTCATTTTGAATCTTGGATCTAACACTGAAGCTATAGTCATAACAAGATGGCACTCCCCTCAATATTTGTCAAACTTCTCCTTCATCTTAGTCACCATAGTCCTAATGGAATCATTTTTTGATAGAGCACCTTTATCCAAAGTTTCTTTTACTCTAAACACCTCAATCAAATACAGATTGGATGTTGGATAATCACTTTCGAGAAATGACATTTGTGCATACCTGAAAATAAGTTGCTTTAGTATTACGCATGATAAAATATTTAAAATAACACTTAAATAAAGGTAATATGCACCTTGAAAACCTTCAAGATTTCACATACACTCTCCACATGCGCCCACTCCTCATCATTAGGCAGGTGATGGAAATGTGGCTCGTACTACGCAAATCTATGAAAATCAAAAAAACTTAGTGATGTGCAATATTTGAAAACCTGAAAATCACAACATTCAAAACTATTTTTATTAAAATCTAATGTATACCTTGAGAAAACATCTTTAAATTTTAATGCAACCGACAACATATCATAGGTTGAATTCCATCGTGTTGGAACATCAAGCAATAACTTTCTATCTTGTATTTGCAGTTGATGTGCAATATTTGAAAATGTTTGAAGTCTCACCTCAGAATTGTTAATATATTTTATACCCTCACGAACTTCCCCGATAACAGAATTAATCATAGCAAGACCATCTTTCACAAGAAGGTTCAAAATGTATGCACAACATCTAACATGAAATAACCTACCACCACACATGAGTTTTTCTCACTCTAGAAAAAAATTCTTTTAGTCTTCTCAATGCCCTGTCATTGTATGCAACATTGTCTACAGATATCGTGAATATCTTGTCCTCAATTTCCCAATGCTTCAAACATTTATAAATACCATTAGCAATATCAAGTCCAGTACGAGGAGGAGGAACATGTACAAAACTGAAGACACGTTTTTGCAATCTACAAAATCAAGTCCAAATATCAATATAAATATATTAAATAAAATGGAAAAAACTTTTAAAAAAAATATAGAAGGAAATCAAACCTCCAATTATGGTCAATAAAGTGCCCTGTGATAACCATGTACTCAATCTTCTGATGAGATGACTTCCAACAATCAGTGGTCAAACTGATTTTTGAGGCTGCTTTTATAAGAGCTTTTAGTGTTTTTTTCTCATGCTCGTATATCTTAGAACAATCTGATTTGGTTGAAGTCCTGCTTGTTTTCTCAAATAATGGAGTAGTCGTCTTCATCATATGCACGAATAAATCATCCTCCATAACAGAAAAAGGTTGCTCAGTACCCAACACCCAAGTAGCTATTGCTTCTCTCATTTTGTTATTGTCATACTTTGCATCAGGCCTGATCAATGAAGGAAGCTTCTCATGTCCTGCATCCCCATCAGACCTAATATGTGGAAAATTCAATAAATTCTGCTTTTCTTCATAATCTTTATGTGGCTTGCATATAAGCAGGTGCCTTTTTAATGTTGATGTAGTCCCGCTATCACCATAAGTTAGCTTTATTTTACAATGATTACACTGAGCTTTTTTTGGTACCATTAGATAGAGCCACTATAGTGAAACCATCCCATGTCTTTGATGTTTTTTTTTGTTTTCGTTTCATTACTATTTCCTCTTCTCCCCCGTGGATTTCTGCATTTTGATGTTTATCACTGCCATTTGCACTTAGAATATGATTATGAGGAGTTGGTTGTTCATCAACATCTCTATTTATGGGAGCAGATTGCTCCTTAGACCATCTCCAACACATCTCTATTTTTTCCCCATAAATAAAGTAAAAAATGGAGTAAATAGTGTTTCATCTCCAACCCTACTCCATTTTCTATCCTATTTTTTACCCCAAAAAGTATATTCCTCAAATATTCCATTTTTATAACTTATATATATTTTCAAATACACCCCTCTACTAATTAAACTCTATATTTAAGATTAATTAATATAAATTAGTATATAACATGATATTATAAATATTAAATATTACATTTAAATTATAATTAGTAGATAAAATAAACTAGAAATATATAAATTAAAAATGAGAGGGACTAAAATTGGCAACCAAACTTCACCTCCATTTTTGGAGATATGAATAGTATTCCCCCATATATGGGGGAATACTATTTATATCTCCAAAAATGGAGGTGAAAATGGGGTAGGGTTGGAGAAGAATGGGGAAGAAATGGAGGAAAAAATAGAGTTTGGGGTGGGTTGGAGATGCCCTTATTCTCAACCCATTCCATTAGATTTGAACTCACATCACCATCCATAATATCTACAACATGGTTTATGAAAGAATATTTGTCAAAATTTGTACATTTAATAAGCATATTTAGTTATTCAGGTATGATAATAATTTGAAGGAATAAAACCGAAAATTCAAAGATGTTTTAAAAAAACTCACTCTAACTCGACACATACAATAAGATTATTATTATTTCATGTCATCTTAATCCAAATAAGATGAAGATACATGAGGATATAATCGTAACTATATAACGAATCAAGACAACCAATTGTTCGATAGCTAACTGCCATTTTACCCTTTAAAGATTAAAATCATTGTCTTACCCTCAGACCACATTAAAAAAAATGTATTAAATGTTTTCAATGAAAACAATAGTTACTTCCAATTCATCCTTTCAACATTAAAATTACCGTCTTGCCCTTAGACGACATTAAAAAAACTTGAGTGAAAACATTATGTTTTGGTGTTACTCAATTTCTTTAGGTTTCAGAGTGTATATTTGGCAGATTTACCTATTGTTTTGATATACATATGTGTCACTTACGCACTTCCAATGCAATGTATTTTTCCTATATTTGTGATTGCAATTGTCCGTTATCCAATATTCATGATAATGTATTGTTATTTACCATAGTAACATGGAACACAAGTTAAAATGTCTTAGAAACTTTTACTATATGATTAATGTAATTATATAGGATTTTACCTGCTAACGACCAATTTTTTTGTTTGTTTCCTTTGTACAACCACACAGCATCACTGCAATGGAGTGATTGCTGCTCACGAAATGGAACACCACATAAGAAAAACAAATCAACCGTTGAATCTTTTAACAACAAACCTTATGAATCAAAAGTTAGGTTATTGTAGAATTTAATAATAAAACAAATCTGATTAAATGAAAGTGAAGCTGAAGCTAACAATTAGAAATTGCAAAATAATGAAATTGAATATTCGATTAAAAGGAGTACTCACATCGAACATAGACACAATGAATCAAACAGAGACGAATGGAGATGAGAAAACATAAAAAAACGGAAGTTGGTCGATTAAGTATAGATTTGACAGGCCTTCCTTCTTCCCCAAATATAAATCGAAGAGACAACAATGGCAACGGGTGGGATCAAATTTTCCGGGGTGAATAAGGAATTTCAAATACCTGTTGATTGTTTGCAGATGGTGAAGTTCGATTTAGGAAAGAACAAAGTTCGCTTATGATTCTTCAGCACACTGTAACCTTATGCCTACTACAAAACGAATGTTCTCAGATAAATGCAAGTAAAACTAAAAGCATTCACCTTCCTCTCTGTTACACTCAAGGCAAATACGACAGTTAGCTATCGAACCTTCTTCAACATCTTCATATTTTACATCAACAGAACTTGCAGCGGACGGCGGTGGCGACGACGACGACGGTGATTCAGAATCAACGCGTTGGTGACGAGGAAGCAGATGATCTGAATCGCTAGGGTTTTCTAAACCCCTCGCTTCTAGCTCTAATTCTCCGGTCATTTGTAACCTGATCAAAAGTAAGAAAACCCTAAAATATCAAAGAAACAATACAATTTGTAAACGATCGTTTCCTGCGTCTTCCACAGAGGCTGTGGCGGAGGCACTGTCATCGAAACCTAAATCGGGGAAGACACAAAATCGAGAAATTGAGGTGTGACAGAAACCACAAAAAAATGGAACAAAGATAGAGATGAATTGGAAGGTGAAAACAATGTAGAGTCGGTGGGAAGTAGGTGGAATAGGTGATAGAAAAACGTGTGGTCTGTATGATGACTGTAATTTTTTTATTGTGGGCAAACTTTGAGAGAGAGGCTGGGACTAAAATGGACAATCTCAATAAATTAGTGTGGCCAATGTCTAAAGTTAAAGGGACTAAAATTGCCAATAGCTGAAAATAATATAGCCAAACTCTTAAGTCCAAAAAAGTTACTGCTCATACCTCCTTCCATTATATATATATATATATATATATATATATATATATATATATATATATATATATATATATATATAGGGAAATGATCATATGAGAACACCTAAAAAGTTGAGAACGCGAGAACAAGTATATTCATTTGTGATTCCATGTATTCATTTGCGGAGAAATGATAAATTTTTACACACAATCAACATGAATATGTTTTTTCTCTTCAATTGAAATTAAAGGCGTAAAAATTTATCATTTCTCCACAAATGAATACATGGAATCGCAAATGAATATACTGTGTTCTCGCGTTCTCAACCTTTTTGGTGTTCTCATTTGATTAATATATATATATATATATATATATATATATATATATATATATATATATATATATATATATATATATATATATCCAAGAAAATGAGATGAAAAACATAGTAATTATAAAATCAAACATCATCATACCATAGTATCTTATATTTGTTGACTTTGGTTAGGATTCAATTGAATTTGATTTTTCCCTTGAAGCGAATTATCAGTATTTTAGCATATTATGTTTTTTACTGAGTGCTTCCCTTTCTCTCTAAGGTGTGACTGTTCGCTAATTACTCAATTTTAGTCTTTAGATTGAAATCAACAGTTAACACATTGGACGACTTGTTCAATCATACAAGCTTTAGAATATTTCACATGAAAGATGTACTCGACTCTAATGAAAGAATTTTTTTTATCTTGCCAAGTGACAAAAAGATTTGTTTTGCTCCCTTATGTCCCGTGAAGAATGAGACACACATGGTGTATATGTTTTACAATTGATTATATATTTTTATACCACTTCAACAAACAAGTGCATTACAAAGTATACCATAGTGTGTTATAAAAACGACATTCTATTGCACCTGATCACAAGAAAAAGTTGTATATATTATTGTTTTAACTATTATTTTCTTATTTAAATAAATATTTTAATAATATTTTAAGTTTGCCTTAAAACACGATGTTACAAATGCATGTGATGTCTAAGACCCTGATTTTACCCAATTTTACCCTTGTTTAGTAGCAACTACCTTTCGACCACTTTCTAATATAAAATAGACCTATGAGTAATATGTATATACTAGGCGAATACCTGCACGTTACGTTACGCAGAATACAACAATATATTTGAAATCTTCACAAATATATATGTTTTATAAATATATTGTTGGTATATTTATTGTTGGTATAAATATTGTTGGTTTTGAATTATATGATATTGTAGACATCTTTTAAAATTTTATAATCTCAATTGTTTCAATAGACTCTACGTGCAGGTTACTCATTAATAAAACTAAATATAATATATGGTTTGATGATATTTATATTTGTTATGATTAATTAATTTTAGAAAGTTTATTTGTTTAAGATTTTAATTTCTATCATTGTAATTATTTGAAACATCAAACATTATTTTTGTTTTTAAATGTAACAATATAATTTTTGTATATAATGTTACTTTTAACTATTATTGTTAGAATTTATTTAAAATAACGTATTTGGAAACTCTTAATTATTATAATTTGGTTTCAGAAATTGAACTTTTTTAAAATTTATTTGATAAATATTGTTATTTTCTTTGATTGTAATTATTTTAAACAACAAACAGTGTTTTTGTTTTTAAAAGATTGCATTATAATTTTTTTTATATAATATTACTTTTAACTATTTTTATTGTAAGTTATTTTTAAGCTACTTATTTGAAAATTCTTAATGATTATAAAAAATATCTTCATGTTATTTTTTTTTGTTAATTTAGGATTACAATTTAAGTTTAACACTAAAATTTATAATGTTAACTATTTATAAAATAGTCTCTCGACTTTTTTTCAAGTTTAACTGAAACTTTGATTTAAGTTAAACGTTTAACATTATATTAATATTAAAAATTTAACTATTTTGCATAAAATCATAAATTTACAATTGCTCACATACGACAAGATATTTAAACTAATAAATTAAATATAATATGTTAAAAAGTTAAAATCATAATTTTTTAAATAGAAGTAAAATGTGATATTTTAATATTATAATTAGAAATTAGTTTTTACATTAATTTAACATTATTAACCAATTTATAATAATTATTAGAAAGAAATTGAAAAGTCATGGAGGTTTCAAATGCATGTGGTGCAAGTAAAAATGTCTCTTTTATAAGTATAGTAGTCATATGCCCGCGCGTTGCGCAGTGGAATAATTATGTAGTTTAATATGGTTATATATATTATAGTAAAATAAATAGTTAACATTCTTTTTAAGCATATGTTTAATTGAGAAGTTATGATTTTAAAACAAATAAGATACTAACATAATGCAATTAACAAAAATATTACATTATAATTGATATGGTTTAATCTATTGTGAATAGGTTGTACATAAAGGTTGTATCCGATTAAATAGTATGTATATTTTTTTGATTTACAAATAATTTATACAAATAGATAATGCAAAATTATTATTAATGTTTATATATACATTAGTATCTAATATAAGTATTCGATAGTTGATTAATATGGGTTCTCATTTGTGGTCGTATGCGTTTAGTTTCTTAAGTAAACCCCACATGTGTTGAATCACATTTTTTGAAAATTATTGAAATAGGATTAGAGAACTTACTTATTACCTCCAATGTTTGGTAATTTAAGACATCTAATTTTTGCATTTTTCATTGTAGATTTTGTAGAACTTCTGAATTTTTGCCATTAAATTTCTATGCTCGAGTTTCTCATTCATTTTTAAAGGTTTTAAATCTTCTTTCATTCTTGGAGTTTCAGATTCTTCACGAATTGTGGGTAGACTTCATGTTCTTGCATTCTTTAGTAAGATTGGAACAAATATAATTCTGAAAACCTATCTGAAATGCAAAAGTTTTGATATTCTATCTTGAGACTTTAATTCGGTAGAAAATATCGTTTTCACCGGCCGAAGATCGGACAACTTGGATTCATTTCTAGGGTATAGTATCTGCTTTAGTTCATCCCCAGTCCATATTATCCTATCACATCTGCCATGTATTCATAATCCATTATGAGTATTTGAAATTGTACAAATTAAAGGAGTGGAAGTTATGAAACGAATGATATAAAGAGATTTAATTACCATGCAACAGGGGCAAACTAAAATAGTGGAATGTATGAAATGAATGATATAAAATGATTTAATTACCATGAAGGAGCAAGTTTTGTTTCATCATTGTTGCCAAATTTTCATTTGGGAACATATTTATAAGTACGTAGGAGCAAAATCAATTGTTTCTTCATGCCATGCTCTGAATTCACCATCCATAGTTCCATTCGTAGCTTCAAAATTTCAGTTATATAAAATGTGTGATGTGTTATTAATTACTTTGAAGGTGAAAAGGTGTGGTGGTTTCAAATGCATGATGTGTTTGAAAATTTGTGTGGGGGTTTCAAATGCATGAGGTGATTGGAAAAATGTCTCTTTTATAAGTATAATATAATAGTATGATATGATATAGATATAGATATATAGATATAAATATAGAAAGATTTTATTTTTGTTAATAAAGAAGATAATCCTTTAGATTTCACCTTAATATTTTCTTACATACGAATATTTTCATTTGAGCTAATAATGCAACACCCAACGCCTATGGGTACTTTTTAAATTTAGTTAAATTAGATGAACAAATAAGTCAAACTATAAATAATAACTAACGATTAAGTTTAATAACGTTACTTGTTAAAATAGAAGTTGTTTTAAAAAATTATTAAAAATGAGAATTTAGTCAAAGTCTAGAAATTAAGAGTTGAATTAACTCCATTTTGGATTTATTTTGTCAATAAATAAGTTTATTAGGGTTGATTTTGTAAATATAATAGCTAGTCATTAGTTAATGTCATTTTGGGGCCAAGTGATGAAAATATGGAATTGAGGGACTATATGTGTCAACATAGCAAAGATAAGAAGATAAACCCCAAACTCCCTTCTCTATTCCTCATTTGCGATTTGGAGAATATGAGAATGAGTTAGAGTGGCGATTTTTAAGGTTGGAAATGAATATGATGTTTACTTGAAGATCTCTTGAAAGATTTGCACTTAGAGCATCAAAGGAAGTTAAAAAATAACGATCCGATCCTTAATCATCTTCTGCACTTTAACATCCTATGATTTGGATTCAATTCTTCTAATCCAAATTCTTAATGATTAATGAGTTATAATTTGTTTCCAGGTAAATGGTAACGGTACAACATTGTAGGTTATAATTAATAATAATTTATCTAACAAATATATTATTTATTTTCATATCTATTTTATAACTTTTAGTGTGTGACCCCTATAACTCATTTATAATTAGACAATTAGCAGTGCAATAAATTGATTGTATCTTGCACATTATATCCAACATATCATCCTCACCACCACTGGTACCACCTAATAAAAGAATACTTTTTTACAAATGTCACTCCCACAACATCAATGTTAAATTACTTCATTACCCTTTAATTCATTCACTTGTGAAAATAGAAATTCAAAATACGCCGGATTGCTCGGTCCATTTACTCTTATCTTTCAAATT